TACAATAATGCTAATAACAGTAATAGTAAAAATAATGATAATGATGATTATAATGGTAAGGATGATAATACTGATAATAATGATGATAATATATATTAATGATACAGTAATAATGCTAATGATTATAATGATAATAGTATATAATAATGATACAATAATAATGCTGATAATTGTAATGATAATAATAATAATGATGGTGATAATGATAATGATGATAATAATAATAACAATAATAATAATATTAATAAAAATAATAATAATAATAACAATGATAAAATATGATAATGATAACAGTGATGATAATAATGATTATGAATACAATATTAGTAATAATACCGATGATAGTATTAACGATGATAATAATAATAATAATAATAATAATGATAATATTAATAGTATCAACAATGATGATAATGGTAATAATAATAATAGTAATAGTAATAATGATATTAATAAAAACAATGATAATAATAACAACAGCAACAGTAATGATGATGATAATAATAATCATGGAAATAATAATGATAATAATAATGATGATGGTAATAACAGTAATAATAATTTTCATAATGATAATGAGGATGGGGAGAATGATGATAATGATAAGAATAAGAGTAATGGAGAAGAGGACGAATAGTAGTGAATAATAACAAATAACAAAAATTTGATAATAACGTTAATAGAGTTGATGATAATAGCATTGATATTAATGTGGCCAATAATATTAATGATTGTAATCATAGAAGTAATTATTGACAATAATGGCAGTTAAAGTGTTGGTAGTAATGATACTGATAATCATGATAATGATGGTGATGATGATTATAATAATAATAGTAAATCATCATCATCAGCTAAAGTGATTCTAATGGGAAGAACAAAGAGTAACAGTAATAACATGAATAACACTTACGATTAATTGCATTGATCACTGCAATTGCAATATCATCAAAGTAGGAAATACAGTATAGTTTCCATTATGATTTTACAAATTTATGTGCTGTATCGTGAATGATATGAATCTTATTATTGGAAAATTATATAGTGGTGATACTTATAGGAAAAAAGGGATGTTATTGATAAGTAGGACTGAAGTAATGATGTCAGTTACATATTGTAATATTACATAGTGTACATTTTATATTATATTGCTCTTGTTTATAAAAAAAAGAAAAAAAACTTGTTATTACTATTTTTCTTTTGATAATGATAATGATTAGATAAAGATGATGATAATGATGATGATGATAATATTAACGATAAAGTTAATGATAATGTTAATAGTAATAATTTTTATTGTTGTTACTATTAACATTATTATCATTATTGTTGTTTTTTTTCATTATAGTAATAATAATGCAGTATTAATAATGGTAATGATAATATTAAAGACTAAATTAAGAAAATAATAATATTATAAATGATAATGATGCTAATGATGATAATGATAATTATGATAATAATAATGATAATAATAATAATAATTATTATTATTATTATTATTATTATTATTATTATTATTATAATGCTGTTGATAATGATAATGATGCTATTGATGATAATGATATCGATAATAGTAGTTATTAGGATGATAATAGTAAAAATCATAATGACACTAATAATGATAATGAAAATGAAAATGATTCTAATAATGTTGATTAAAAGATAATAATAATAGCGCTAATGATATTAGCCATGATAAGACTAATAGTAATGATAATAACAGTAGTTATAATGATAGTTATAGTAATGACAATAATGACAAGAGGAATGATAATGATATTGACAATAATGGTAATCGTAATAAATGATAATCATATCATAATGATATATAATAGTAATAATAATAATATAATAATAATGATATACAATAGTAATAATAATGATAATGATAATGATAAAAATAATAATAATCATTATTATGATTATTATTGTTATTGTTATTATTATCATTATTGTTATTATTATTATTGTAATAATGATAACAAGAATGATGATAATGATAATCATGATAATAAGAAGAATAGTCGAAATAATGATAATAATGATCTTAGTGAAAGTGATAATCATAATGATAAAAATAATAACAATAACAATGGTTATTGTTCTTGTTATCATCATCATCGTCATCATCATCGTTATCATTATTATTACTGTAATATTTTTTGTTGTTATTATTACTATCATAATTATTATTTTTTTTTTTTATTTTCATCATTATTATCATTATTGTTATCATCAATATTGTTATTGTTGTTACTATTATTTTTAATAATGTTTTTATCATCATCATATTCATTATAAGAATCATCATCATTGTTGCTTTTATGTTGTTATTATTATTATTGCCATTATTATATACATCTTAATTTTTATCATCAATGTCATCGTCATCGTCTATATCATTATTATTATCATTATTATTATTATTATTATTATTATTATTATTATAATTATTGTTATTATTGTGGTTATTTTAGTAGCTAGAACAGTGACAATAAGAACATCCTAATCACGACGCGATCTTTCATATTTGCCATTTTCCCAGCAAATGATCAAG